ATATATATATATATGTATATACACATACACATGCGTACCCACATAATGCAGTTTTACAACAAAAAGGTGTGTATGTATATACACAATGAGTCTGCAACTTTCGTTTTCATTTATCTGGTGCATAAGTAATGATTAATACTTTTCTTTCGTTTATACCTATATCTGCTTTTGTTACATGTGTTCATTCTGCTAATTATAGTCATTTACTTATTTTTTTTTATAATAGTTACACTTCCCAAGTTTTTTAAATCCGCCCCCCCCCCCCCCCCCCCGGCGATTTTAAATGTCTTATCAAGTACCCAGTGTGTCCTTGTTGGCTATTGTTTACATCTGGTAATAACGGTAAACACCGTAACACCAAATGCGATGTTTAGTCAGCGCCAAACGGGATGTTAACGACATTGGTCAGGGACGATGAGATAATGAAAGTTGATTAAAATCATTCTGCCGGGCCGTGCCTTGAGTTTCTGTCAGATCAAAAGAGAATGGAAAATGTTTACAGAGTCGGCTGTGTTTTCTTAGTCTGCCTGTCGCTAGCAGTAAGTATTTCAAGAAGGGTTGTCTAATGTGGTAACTAAATAATTCACTGTAATTGACCACATAAACGAAAGTAAATGTTTTCCTGTTTGGTTCCATCGAGGTGGGCGTGTACCAGCTACTATCACGCAGTATACCGTGCTATTCTAAATGCCGTGCTGAACAGCTTCCATAAGTTGTCACTGTGTTTTAATTTTCTTTCTATTTTAGTCAATTTTTATTTATTTCAACAACAAAAAATAAAAGATAACTATCAGTATTTTGAAATACATTATTTCATTGTCACAATCAGTTTTATAGTCGTTATTGTAAATTGATAACATTCCACCATATCCAAATCCGGCATAATCTAAATAATAGTAACACTATAAATAAGCACAAGCATTGATTTTATGAAATGTAAGGTAGCAAAAGCATTCTCTGAGAATACAATGAGTCGTTGAAAAGGATATTGATTATTTCTATGAAAACTTTTACTGGTAGTACTACTACTACTGCTACTAGTACTGCTTTATGCTATAACTCTCATTTACACTATCAGATTTCAGCAATAAAATAAAACGTTACAGTAAGCATTCAGCATGACAGTTACTTTAAAATAATAAAACAATTATTATTTATTAGACTGATAATTTGATATAATTATAGAGCATTAAAGAGCTTTATTGTGTACAAGTTTCAAGGGTTACTAATACAGTTTTAAAAATTTATCAACTCATGAGACTCCCTGTTACGTACTGATCACACCAACTACAAGAAAGTTGGAAGAAAAGCAAGCATGACAAAGACAGATGTGATCTCTCGCCTGTGGGATGAGGTGACAAGTAAAATGGAAGTTCCTGAAACCCCTGTACTTTGATAAAATTATGCAGGTTGTCTGCGGATTCTGGGTGCCACATGAGACTCAGAGGGAAGGCAAGACAAGTAGTAACCAAATGGCAGTTCGAACTATCAGTATGAAGACTCTTCACTGGCTGTGTAGGAGAGAGAGGGAGCTAATATGGCCTTGTCCTTAATGCTAAATGATGTTCAATCTTGACACAAATAAGAGGTGGTTGCAGAGATTTGCCATAAAACACCCCATTGAACCAAATCAGCTAACACATTCTTTAATATTTAACAAAAGGATTCTCTTTAGCCATTTTCATCTCAAGCCCACTGTGCAGTTTGTGACCCATCTTGGAACTTCCATTTTACTTGACACCTCATCCCACAAGCGAGAGATCACATCTGCCTTGTACAGTTGCAGTACACCCCCCAAGTAGGGCCAGTGCAGACAACCTAGTTGCCTTGTACATCTGCAGTACACCCCCCAAGTAGGGCTAGTGCAGACAACTTATCTGCCTTGTACAGCTGCAGTACATCCCCCCCCCCCCACCTAAGTGGGGCCATTGCAGACAACTTATCTGCCTGCTCATTCTCAGACATGCCCAGACAGCCAGGTAAAATATTGTGGGCTCTCATCACCTGCGATTCCTGGATTGATGCAACCCATTCCATACAAAGAAAATCAGACTCTACCTCTTAGATGCTACTTAATGCTACTCGCTGTTTTACACAAATTTCTAGCAGCCTTAACTTTGTGCTTTTAAAACATTTGTTGAACCACCCATCGGTAGCTAATTACAATGAATCATACAGTTTCCATTGTCAGCTAACCAGAAAAATAAACAATTTAGCACTATGCTTCCAGCCTCTGACATTTTATTTTACATTAATGGAACGGTTTTCAAACTGTGGGTCGCGACCCCTTTGGTGGTCGAACAGGGGTCGCCTAAGACCATCGGAAAACATATATTTACAGAAATTATGAAGTAGCGATAAAATTAATTCTATGTTTGGGGGTCACCACAACACGAGGAACTGTATTAAAAGTCATTAGGAAGGCTGAGTACCACTGCTTAATGTGTTAAATAGTTCCCTTTGTTTATTACTTCCTTATGTTTGTATGTATGTATGTGTTCATTACTTGTTAAAGTTGTTTTTTACTTCCTTTGTTGAATATAAAAAATTAGCCTATTCAGCTGCAGTGGAGATTTATTGCACATTTCCTTGACACTTTACTTTCCACTGCTGATAGTTTAAAAAATAAATTTCTTGTGGCTATCAGTTAGTGATAAAAAAAAGTCACACTGTGAATAGATTGGGACTTCACCTCCAAAGGCAGAAATTGATCCAAATATCCACAGAAGCCAACCTCCATGAGGTAGATAGCATAATAATGAAAACCCAAAAATATTGCACATAATATTTTTGTGAAATTCTTAATTAGGCAAACACACAAAAAGCACTGATAACACATTTTGTGGCATAATCTGCTGGAGCCAAGTAATGTTTTTGTGTGACAGACGTATACTATAAATGCAATAAATGGCCCTGCAAATTGATGAAACAGTCCATTTATATTTAGCAGCTGATCAAATGGTTAGGGTACTTGCTATCATGTAGGAGAGGTGAGTTTGAATCCTCTGTAAGTTGATGGACACATGATCTGATGAGGGCAGAAATAAAACTGCTAACTTAAACATTCATGGTGAATGCACTAGTCAAGCAGCCATAAATCCTTAGATTCTTTTAGTCTCCGGCAATCGTTACTTCAGCTTCACTAATACGTTAAGCCTAAAAAATTATAAATATTTAGGTCATAAAGAATTCAGCAAAGACAGTGTGGGACAGAAGAAGTTGAAGTAATAATCTAGATCTTTCATCACTGGCACCTTTATTTTCTGTCCAGATAATAGTGTTACCCTGTAAAATGATGAGACATAGGACTCACAGCCCGTGATAATAGCGAACAGGATTAGCAAGGCCAGCCCGTCTTAAGTAAAGTCTTTAACAATTATAGTGTGGGATTTCAGGATCGTTGTCAAAATTTGGGTTTAATCTGTTTCTTCTCAAACTCTCAGCTCTCATTCTTTCTACAATTGTTTCTTTCTTCATTCTCATTCCCCTCCTGATGTGCTCCCTCCACACAACATGGCCCATGGCGTTTTGTTACCTTCGAGTCCACCTGAATACCTGAATCATTCATGTCCAGCTTGCAGACATCTTTATATTGTAGTAGAGGTTGGCCTCAACATCTTCTACCCGACTTTAATTAACCATAGAGGATGTCTTAGGGACTCTTTCCTCCTCCATTCTCCAGGTGTGACCCAGCCATCTGTGCCTTTGTAGACTGAGCATTGAGAAAACTTCTAATATCTGCTCTTTCCAGTACCTCAATATTTGTGATTTTTTCCTGCCACTTAATGCCAAGCATTCTTCTCAGGCATCGCATTTGAAACCAATTTAGCTGTTACTCCTGGTGCGAATAAGTTGACTCAATTTTACCGCCATAAAGCAGAGAGCTGAAGTAATAAATCCAGACAGAAGTGATGAAAATTACACCTGTCTGTGATAGAAAACAGCATTAAATCACCAAGAAACTTATAGTGAGTTGTTTAGTACTTTTAAAGCTTTGCAAGTCTACACTTGTATTATACATATTACCAGAACCATTAACCATTATGGACATGTGAAAAAGGTTTACTGGTCACTCCAGAAAGTTACTACAGGGTTCTGTAGAGGGAAAGAGGAGAAGACGCAAACAAGAGAGACCTGGATCATGAATTTGGGTAACTGAATCTTGCTCTATCCTACTGCTTATGCCATAAATTTTGCAGATAGGAGTTAAATGTAGTTCCCAGTCTTTTTGCTAGTTGTGTAGCTTATATTAATGTCACATTGTGCTTCTGTAGTGTCTCTTTTACTCTCTCTAGTTATCTCTTTCTCGGTTGGCCTCTTGACTTGTAACCTGATATTCTCATGTAGTACCCTCTAGCTGCTGGCTGATTTTGTTCTGTTTTGATTAGATGACCAAACCTTTTGAGTCTTTATTCTGTGAAATCATTTCACGTTACCGTGCCTACCATTTTTCTTAGTTCTTTATTGGTGATTGTGTCTCTTCCTGTTTATCCCTCTGCACCTGGGATAGTGAATATGCATCAAATATATAAACATCAATATATAAACATCAAGTTCATTATATCTGACCGAGATGGAGGGAACTTATCAGGCAGCAGCCAACAGCAACTGGTAATGCAAGACATCATGTTATGGTTCGGGTTCAATCACCAACAATGGTCTGATTATCAATTTTCAAGAAATTTTTTGAAAAAAGTTGGCAGTTATATATAAACATCAAGTTCATTATATCTGACCGAGATGGAGGGAACTGATCAGGTAACAGCCAACAGCAACTAGTAATGCAAGACATTATGTTATGGTCCGGGCTCAATCACCAACAATTTTCTAATTATCAGTTTTCAAGAAATTGCTTGAAAAAGGTTGGCAGTGATGGAAGAAACTGGCATTGAATATGTCAGGACCTGTAACTGCACACCCGTAAGAAATTATCTGCTGTGGGGCTGGTTTCACGTAAGACACAACTGAATCATAATTATTTTAATTTTTTTCTTCAACAGGATGGAAGTGTGGTTTGTGATAATGGCAGAATATGCGTTGGTATGTACAAAATTAGTTAGTTACTGTGTTTCCACAAATATAAGACCTGGTTTTATATTAATTTTTATTTCTAAAAAAATGCACTAGGGCTTATTTTCAGGTACAGAAGTCTACATTTATTCATGTACACAATTCTACATTTATTCAAATACAGTCATGTCATCTTCTTCTGGAACATCATCATAACTTTCAAAATCTCGAATTTCTTTTCATTCCATTTCTTATAGAACCATTGGCCCTAGTCTGCCATGTCCAGCATTAAAGCATTCCTCAAATGAGCATTTCTTGTCCATGTATCCTGCTTAAAGTATATACTTTGGATAGATTTTTAACTCTAAATTTTGCCAGGGCAGCGCCTTTAGGCTCCCGTTTTTTGATTTCCAACTGCTAGGGTATTTTTTTACCTGTGCAACAATATACACGGGCATTCGATATTAATACCTAGAGACCAGGGGCAATTATTAGAAGTCCAGGTGAAAAAAAACCCAGCCTTCACCGGGGTTTGAACTCGGGACCTTCGGCATTCGGGGCCGATGCCATACCTCGAGACCACGCAGCAATGTGAGGTTTAGCACTTTTGCATCCTGAGAGTTGATTAACTCATTTAGTACCAAGGAACACATGATGTGTGATTGGCTGTGGCCTTTTGTAAGAGCAAACCTCGATCTCCCTTTAAAACATTTTTCCAGATTTTACTAAAGCAACGGCGTACTCAGTAGCAACTACTGTGCTTTATTTCAATACAGCATTTGTTTTGTTTTTGAAAAGTGTTTACAATGATATAAAGCAACTGTTTTTGTGGAAAACCTCTCAGGACTAAAAGAGTTAATAAAGTAAAAATAACATTTTATCATTGATCTATCCCCATAAGGGACACAATCTTTCGTTAATTTGAAGCCTGTCCTTAGTTTTTGCCGGGTGCCCTAATATAACCCAACCTATAAGTTGAACAGGTTACTAGGACCTGTCCCCTGGTGATCCTCATCTGAATGGTGGTACTTTGTGACACTGGATGTTTATAGCACGGTGTGATGTCCTGGTGGGGTTAAACATCAGTCAGTCAGTTTCCCTATTTTACTATCCAATCTGATCCCTAATTAAACTGCTTATTTCCCCATCATCATTCTGTCACAACACATGTTAACCTTTGTATGTTTTATGCTCACTTGATATAACAGTGGTCTCTTTCAATCTCTAGATGCAGCAGATTTTTCACCAACTGCTATGATTTTGTAGCAATGCATTCTTAGAAAATGGGCACTGGCCAATTCCAGAATCTACTGGAATCGTCTGGAAAGGAAAGATGATGACAAAGGGAACCAGCCTGCCTATAATATATGCTGCAGCTTAAAATATGTGAGAGCCTGAAACTTCACATAGTTGTATCTGCTATTGGACTACATTTTACAGTGCCCCTCACCAACATGTTAAACTAACCTCACAATAATGTTACAACATACTCACCAACATGATTAAATAACCTTACCAAAATATTATAAAACACACCAACATGATGAAATAACCTCACAATAATATTACAAAACACTCTTTAACATGTCCAAATACCTTTACCTTATAATTGTTTCAGGAGCTGGTGCTTTCTGCTGTCGACTGTCTGATGGTACTAAAGGATGCTGCTGGACCACGTATGTCTACCAGTTATGGTGTAAGTTATGGTTTTTTTGGTGTTTGTGTTGTATGAGTAAACTAAGCTGAATAGCTCTGCTATAATCAAATGTTTCTTATCTTCTTCTGTAATAAATCTGACTTGTTACATTAATTTATTTATTAGGTTTTTAATTTAACACCTTTTATTGTGTGAGCATTAATTAACTGATTACATCCAGAGATTGACACTCTCAAGTACAAACACTCTGTGAAGGAGACTGACACTTTAAAGTTCAAACACTCTGTGATAGAGATTGACACTCTATAATTCAAACACTCTGTGATAGAGACTAATACTCTAAAGTTCAAACACTTGGTGAAGGAGATTGACGCTCTATAGTTCAAACACTCTGTGATGGAGACGAACACTCCAAAGTTCAAACACTCGGTGAAGGAGATTGACGCTCTATAGTTCAAACACTCTGTGATGGAGACGAACACTCCAAAGTTCAAACACTCTGTGAAAGAGGTTGAAATTCTAAAGTGCAAACACTCTGTGATAGAGATTGACACCCTGAAGTTCAAACACTTTGTGAAGGAGCTGTGAATTCTGCCAGTTCTAGTTTTTATTTTTTTTTCTAAGAGAACAAATCTCCATCTTTTTTCAAGGACTGAACCCTGGGGTTCGAAATGAGAGACCAGCATTCTAACCACTCAGCCAGCCACTCGACTAAACTACCACTTATTTAAAATATGAGAATTAGAAGAATCCTTTATGATGCAAGTTGACTTGCTCCTTTTTTTTTTATTTGGTCATCAAAACAGGGTTCTGGATGATATGGGTGATGATCTTCTTCCTAATCCTTGCCTGTTCACTTGTGTGCTGGCGTCGCAGAAGGGCCAGGTATCGATATGTGGTGATGGAAAATTCACAGTACCCAAATTATGGAACTGCTGTACATGCTGCAAGTGTTGGTACCACACAGCAGGCACCCCAAGGTTATCCGTACCCAGGTGCACCAGCTGCACCTCCAGTTTACAGTCCCTCAGAGGTAAGTTTTTACATTTAATGAATGTTCAAGGCTAAGTTTGTTTTCCATATCAACACAGTCACCTAAGTTTCCCAGTATGAACATTTGAAATCAATCAATATCATTAGTTTGTCTTATTAAGATGGGTACATTTATTTGTAGGCCTATATGTTTGTGTGTCAAGAGAGGGAGAGAGACACATACACATGTAGGGAGAGCGACACATGCACACGCATGCATGCACACAGAGAGATAGTGAGAGATAGAGAAGAATCCCAATATTTTGAATTTGTTCCTGAGGGTTTTCTGAAAATGTAGTTTTTGATTCATTAATTTTCAGAGGAAGTAATGTAAATAAGAGCAGTAGCAATTTAAGCAACAATATTTTATTTAAACCATCTGGTGTCCCTATGTGGTTTTAAGGGCCTTATTTTGCCTTCCCCCTTCCCCTGTAAACATGTTGTAGAAGGCGATTAATTAGGGATGTTGCCTTTAAAGTCAGAGGGCATCTGACTGAGAGGCAAGGAATCAACAGTCTGCTTATAAATAAGCCAGATCTTTAAAACAGATGTGCACAGAAAACTTAAAAGTCCTTGAAGAAGACACAATTCTAGAAGTGCATAAACACCCAGCATTTTTTGCTGGTGTTTAAAGCTAGTGCATATTAAGAAGAAGAAGAAGGAGACTTGTCAAGGTTTTAATTGGATAGAAATAGTTTTTTTCCTTATGTTTCAGTACTGAATATATTACCTGTGGATTACATATGGTTACTTAATATCGCATAGGTTGTGAATTAGTTGTAACAGATTATAGCAGTAGATTGTTAAGTTTAATAGATTTGATGTGTATATTTTACATAATTATGATAATCATATATATGTAAATTATATTAATTTGTTTCAGAATCTGGTATGTGAGCACGCTTTTGTGTGTGTGTATGCATGCACCTATGTGTGGAATGTGTGTGCATGGGCTCTTGCTTCACAGACCATTGTTTAGAGAGATTACTTATTATACCTTTTCCTGGTAAAATACAGTGATCTTCATTATCCTGTTTTGAAATAAGTGCCTTTTCCATGCAGTGGAGACTTCCCATGCTTTTCTTTTATTTTAACTATTCTTATTTATGATCATCAATGCTTATTTTCAAAAATAAAATCAACCAAACACAGTACTTCAACAACAACAGTATTACTAGTTTAGTGATGGACTTACAGAACATTCACACTGAATCAGACTGTCGGTTGCAGACTATCTGGAACAAATGGAACAAATTAGAATCTGGGAATATGTGTAAATATATTTACATCTCTTACTGGAAAATGTTACTGATTTTTCTTTTCACATATACACAAGTATGCCTATACATATACATGCATGTGTGTGAGTGAGTGAGAGTGTGATAAAGTAAGAGAAATTGCAAGCATTGTCCTGTTTTTGTGTTGGTTTGTGTAAATATATTTACCATTAGACAGCTTGCACAAATGAATGTTCTACAACCTTTGCCTCATGATCCTATTTTATTTCTTTATTTCAGAAACCACCAGCCTACAGCAGTTAATTATTCAGTGCAGAAATGTGATTTTACAGTGTGAGCTTTGATATTTATGGATTACAGAAAGTGGTTTAATTTTTAAATACCTGATTACAGAATAGTGTCCTTCAAGAGTGTGATTTTCAAATGAAAGACATGGACTAGAACATATATCTATGTTGATTTATCCTATGTGTGGCTTTTTTATTTTATTTTATACTGTATTGATAACTATTGTCTTTTTTTAAAACCAAATTTTACATTGAATAAACCAGTAAATACAAGGGGAAGTCAATAAGTAAGTCACAATTGTTTAAAAGTAAAAAATAAAGACAATAACATCTTAAAACCCATTTATTCTTACAAATACACTGTCCTTTTATTTTTCAACATAATTTCCAGCAACATTGATGTTCTTGTCCTATCATGTATGCTTTTTTTTCAGTCTTCCTAAATCTGCTGCATAGAACTGCCAGCTCAGTTTTCTAAACCACATTTTCTATTCACATTCAACTTCTGCTTCATTCATGAAATTTTTCCCACCAAGGTGGGTTTTCAGCTAGGGGCTAAGTCAGGGCTGTAGGACGGATGTTCTGGAGTTCTCGAGTTAACCAGTGCATCTGCAGTCTCAACAGGAGAACCAGATTGAACTTTATCATCAATTTTAGAGTGTCCTTAAGAACAATTTTTTGCCCAGCTATGCACCACTTTACGGGATAAACATTTGTCAGCATAAAAAGGAAGCATTTCCTTATGAATGTCTTTTGCAGGCAGCCCTTTTAACCCCCCCCCCCCCCCCCCCCTCCCCCCAAATGAAAGCCCAACAGCACATTTTTTTTTTAGGGTACACTCCGTAAGTACAGTCGCCATTTTGTTTCTGTTATAGTAACAGCAGCTTTAGTTATAAAAGATTAAGTTGGGTAAATAAGCTAATGTGCAATACAGTCATTTTTGTTTGCAAACCATTCCCTTATAAACTTCCTCCATTATGAAAGGCAATAACTACTACAATAATAATGCATTTTCAATCAGGAATTGTGTGTGCCAACAGTATGGAATATATCATTGTTGATAAAAAATGTCTCCTGTTCAGTGTCAAATGTGATAAATTACAGTATTAGTGTATGTTGACTCATATTTATTTGTTGACATTGCCATACCTTACAGAAGTATCTTTCTGTTACCATACAGTACAGCAGTATTTAACTTTTGCTTGCTGACTGCTTTGTTATTTTTACCCTAACCCTCTATAAAAGCCTTGATAAGCATGCCATCTTAAAAAAATGCTGTTATTAAATTTCTTTTAATATTTTGTGTTAATCTGTTTCAGTCACCACTAATTACTGGCATCATAAGAGTTAAAATATTGCAGGGGTTGGGAAATATACAGAGAATGACAGATAAAAGAGAGACAAAAATTGTGTATGTAAATGAGTTGGGAGTAGGCCATGAGGCAGACCAAGATCCTAGGGAGATAATTTATCAAATACTGGCAGGTCTACAAACACTTGGAGTCAACAACTGGAAAAAGAAGGCCAATCACAGAGATGATTGGAGGCAGATAATACTTGCAGTGATGAACCTGAATGCTGAAAAAAAGAAGATTGTGTATGCATTTAACACAAGCTGTATTTATCTTGAGTCACTGTAGTGAAGTGGCTAGATGCTCGCCTGCAGATTGGAAGGTCATGGGTTTGGGTCCTGACAGAGCCAGACTTTTTTTTGTTTACTGTTAAATGCATTCACTAACATCTGAACCACAGAGCCACATAATTCCTTCTGTACAATGGGGCTATTGTTTAAACTTCTTGGCATCAGCATTTGTTACTTTTTAACCCCAAAAAATTGCTTGAAATATAATGAATTAAAATAATAACAACATTTTAGAGCTTAAAGGGTTAAACTTATGACTGCCTGGGACTCAATAAGTTAAAAATTTCTACCAGCTTGGAAATTCAGATCATATATCAAAATTGTATGACCCAACAGAAATTGTAAATGACAAGACAGGAGCTCATTTAAAAAAATGATCCACAAAAGGTACTTGAGAGATAGCGCCAATATTTCAAGGATCTATTTAATTTACAATCAGAGGAACAATCCACAACACAAAAAAACAACAGCTACATAAAAGAAAATTTAGAACCAAGCATAACACTTGCAGAAATAAGAAAAGCTGTTAAAAAAAAAAGCTCCTTCCAACAAAGCACCAGTCCCTGATGATATACCTGCTGAATTACTCTAAGCAACAGAAGAGGTAGGCATAAAATGGATGCACAGACTGTTAGTCTAGTCTGGACAACACAAGAGTCACCGGAGGACTGGAGAAACACAATATTAGTACCCATCTGGAAGAATAATGGCAGCAAGAGAGACTATTGTGAGAAGTATAGAGGAGTTTCGTTATTGAGTCATACCGGGAAAATATTTTGTAAGATCCTTGAAAAAAGGCTACGTCCTATCATCAAACCACAACTTAGTGAAGGACGAATGGGATTTCAGAAGAACAGAAGCTGTACTGATGCCATATTCACAATTAGACAGAGGAAAGGATGGTAGAATTTGAAAAAGAATTACATGTCACATTCTTAGACCATCATTTTGGGTGAATGATATCCAAGCTGGCTGACAAGAAGTTAGTCACCATGTTACAAACTGTTTCGAAATATTTGTATTACTGATTATTTGATATTATAAACATTCTTATTAATATGATGCTGATGTTCTTTCTAACATGCTGTTGGGTTGTGTGTAACTGTAATATACTTCTGAAACGTTTGTAAAGTGAGTTATAATGTTATTGTCAAGTTATTATTTGGTGTTGATCATGTATGTTGTTGTTATGCTGCTGTTATTTGTTATTTTGATGTCTTCTTTTTTTTTTCCTTTTCATTTTTTCATCATCATCTTCTTCATCTATTGCTGCTGGCTGATCTTGTGCTGCTGTTGAGTTGCTTCTGCTTACTTGTGTTCTTCTAATTTCCATTGATAAGCTTTTGGCTTGTGAATTGTTGGTTAAAGTAATCATGCCTGGTGGATATTGAAGCCTACAGTGCTGGGGGAATTTGGGAACACATAATACAGAATGTGACCTTCTCTCTCCTAGTCACGTAAACCGCAAATTCTTTAGCAAGTGAATCATACACTTATGTTGGGACAGTTAGGACATTTGACACAAGATATCTTGAGGGGATTATTATATTACATTCGACAAATTAACATTATGGCACACGGGGGGGGGGGGGGGGGGTAACCCATAAGACTGACAAATGCAGCCCTTTCCAAGAAGGAAGTGGTGAAGGAAATCCAAGATACTGCAATTGGAAGTTTTAGGCCTTTACGTGTTCTAGGCCCGGGGGGGGGGGGGGGGGGGGGGGGGATCAGGCCGACACGTAACACCTAGGCGAAAGGCAAGAACCAGACTGCTACTGGTACACTACTGGTACCATCAAAGTGGAACTCTTCGCAGGCTTTTAAAAACGAGGGCGGAGTGCTAATGAGAATGTTTCGAGTGCTGTGACGTCAGTTCTAACTACACACATTCTAGGGCATGATCAGATGAACAACAAAAAGATGCCGATTTCAGTAAGAAAAATATCAATATGCTAGAAGATGTATTGTTGTGTAAATGTGCAATGTGGACAAGATCCAGACAGGCAGAGAAACATGTGAGGCAGCGGAAATTTGAGTTCTGAGGGAAAATGCGAGACTATCTCTGACTGGCACGGGGAAAAAAACTGACTCAGTCATCAAAGGCACACATGGAGCTTGTAACATGATTAGAGAAATTAGACGAAGACGGCCAGGGTTTTAAACGTGTTACGAGGAAACTTATTGACAGCTGATAAATTAGATGATTTTTCTTTGTTTGTTTGTTTTAGTATCCAGAAGCCATGAGTTGTTAACTCTTAGGCTCGGTATTATGGATATCGCAACCTTTCGGCCTTGATGCTATTGTAAATACCGTGAATCTGGGAGAAATGTGGCTTTTCTGCCTACCCCCGGAGTGAACCCGGACCACAAGGGGTTCGTCACCCGGTCATCGCGCAATCCGGTTTAGCCAACTACGCTAGAGAGCCGAGCAATGATTTTTCTTTAAAGGAAAAAGAGGACAAAGAGACAAATACCTAAAGAGCCCTTTCATTTGGTGTGGTCAAGACTCCGGGAAAACTGATTGTCAACATAAGATAAAGCTAATTCTGGCACGTCGTGTGAGGGGAATACTCGAGTATGTCATGAAAGGGGATTGTGGGGGAGAGGGGGAGCAGAAGAGGAAAAAGAGAGAAACTAGTTGATAGTGTGGAATCCAATTAGGAACCTTTGGCCTCTCTCTTCAACGTTTGTCTGATTGTTTCTTTTGTTTGTCCTCTTTTTCTCAGTCCAGTTGGTTTCCCATATAGGTGCCTTTTTGGTGGATATATGTTCTTTTCTTCGGTAATGTGCGCATTATTTTGTCATCTTTGTATCTATTTTTAGCTTGATCCCATCGACCTATTTATAATGAAAACAGAAATACTGACAGGGAGAAAAGAAAAACGGACAAGTTAAATATTTCGGTCCAATTAAAATACCTAATACTCTTATAACGTTCCTACTGGAGTTGAAATGATGAAGATAACTGAGAAGGAGGCACACAAGTGAGAGGATAATATCAAGAGTCTCTTAAGCCCACTACAGTAAACATTCATTGTGGAGACTGGAGACTGTCTTTGATTGATCACGGCCAGCTCCAGATTTATAATGATTGATCAATTCAGTCCAAAATCATGTAACGACGTTGACGTGTCGGGACCGGCCAGATTTCAGTTTCTAACATTGTCGTCTAAATGTTTGGGCTCATTTTCAGTTGCATAATTGACTCTGGACAAACTTTTTCAAATCTCACGTTTGGTCACTTTACAGTTACAGCACCCTTTCTCGTCATACGCAGGGTGGCTTTTCTACAGGCATGATAGCACAGTGTCTAATACACATGTCTTCGGGCACGAAGTTGACTGGTTCAAATTCGTAAAGGCACTGCACAGGTA